GTATGATTTACCTGGGTATGTAACTGACCCAATTTTCCCTAGTTGTTGTTTACCTGGAGTTTGCCTGGAGAGAGTTCTGGGGGTCAATGCCCCCACGGCCTGGTCTGTGACCAGGCCTCATGGTGGATCACAGCCTGATCAACCAGGCTGTTACTGCTGGCTGCACGCAATCCAACATACAAGCCACAGCCCGGCTGGTCAGGTACCGACTTTAGGTGCTTGTCCAGTGCCAGCTTGAAGACTGCCAGGGGTCTATTGGTAATACCCCTTATGTATGCTGGGAGGCAGTTGAACAGTCTCAGGCCCCTGACACTTATTGTATGGTCTCTTAACGTGCTAGTGACACCCCTGCTTTTCATTGGGGGGATGTTGCATCGTCTGCCAAGTCTTTTGCTTTCGTTGTGAGTGATTTTCGTGTGCAAGTTTGGTACTAGGGGAGGTGTTATCCCAGTATTGTTGTCTTGAGGAAGCTGCTACAGATATATGGTTATATTGTCCTTACTCATTGATAGGGAGTCACTTTAGTCATTTGTTACACAATACCTGGATTTTACCTGGAGAGAGTTCCGGGGGTCAACGCCCCCGCAGCCCGGTCTGTGACCAGGCCTCCTGGTGGATCAGAGCCTGATCAACCAGGCTGTTGCTGCTGGCTGCACGCAAACCAACGTATGAGCCACAGCCCGGCTGATCCGGAACTGACTTTAGGTGCTTGTCCAGTGCCAGCTTGAAGACTGCCAGGGGTCTGTTGGTAATCCCCCTCATGTGTGCTGGGAGGCAGTTAAACAGTCTTGGGCCCCTGACACTTATTGTATGGTCTCTTAACGTGCTAGTGACACCCCTGCTTTTCATTGGGGGGATGGTGCATCGTCTGCCAAGTCTTTTGCTTTCGTAGTGAGTGATTTTCGTGTGCAAGTTCGGTACTAGTCCCTCTAGGATTTTCCAGGTGTATATAATCATGTATCTCTCCCTCCTGCATTCCAGGGAATACAGGTTTAGGAACCTCAAGCGCTCCCAGTAATTGAGGTGTTTTATCTCCGTTATGCGTGCCGTGAAAGTTCTCTGTACATTTTCTAGGTCGGCAATTTCACCTGCCTTGAAAGGTGCTGTTAGTGTGCAGCAATATTCCAGCCTAGATAGAACAAGTGACCTGAAGAGTGTCATCATGGGCTTGGCCTCCCTAGTTTTGAAGGTTCTCATTATCCATCCTGTCATTTTTCTAGCAGATGCGATTGATACAATGTTATGGTCCTTGAAGGTGAGATCCTCCGACATGATCACTCCCAGGTCTTTGACGTTGGTGATATTTTGTCCCTTTGTTCATAACACTTGAATGCATACCACGACAATCTTGTACACTTCATTGGGATTATACCACGAATTAATACACCCATGTTTCCTATGTTTCCTTTCAACACTAGTTTTCCTAGTGGAGATTGGCAGTACAGGGGTACCTCGATTATTATTATTATTATTATCAAGGGGGAAGCGCTAAACCCGGAGGATTATACAGTGCCTGGGGATGGGGGATGTGGAAGGCATTCAGGCTTAATTCGGGGAACTGGAGCACAGATCCAATTCCCTAAATCAAGAGCCCCTCACCAATATCAAGGAACCTTCCTTGAGGGGAGGGGTACCTCGAGATACGAACTTAATTCATTCCATAAGGCTGTTCGAGTGCCGATACTGAACGAATTTGTTCCCATAAGGAATAATGTAAATTAGATTAATTCGTTTCAGACCCCCAAAAATACACTTAGAAAACTGTTCGAGTTTTGAGCTCTTCGTATCCCGAGGTACCACTGTATTTCAAAGTTGCTGCACAAATTCATTGTTTTGTTAGTTCTCAGCGGGAGATTTGTGACGTGTTCATGCTCTCATATCTGAATTCAACCTAGCTTGTCACCCTGCCCAATGCCCACCAGTTCATCATCCCCACAAAAGAACTGCTGAGTTCAGCTTTACATACCTTCCTTACTACACATTGCAACAAGGAATAACACAAGAAGGTTGCTACCTTGTTGTTTAGCTGTAGCCATAAGTCATAATGTCCCTGACTTGTAGCACAAGTCAAGCACAGGTTTTCTCTTAATTTTCCTGCTGTGGGGAAAAGAGTAATTGTTCTCGTTTAACCCTCATTGAGTAGCTGATAAGAAATTCTAGCAATGAAAGAGTTGTTGTGCAAGGAAGGAAGAGTCCACTAGCCCTTGTGAGGGCTAAGTCCCTCACAGGGCTGACGGGGCTGAAGGAAAACTTTTATTCCGAGTAAGGAAATTAGATCTAACAAAAATGATCCCAAATGGATGAACAATAGATTAAAGCATCTCATTGGTCAAAAGAGAGGCATATCAAGAGGGGATGGGCAGTTAAGAAATAAATATATTCAATTAAAGAGAGAAATAAAGAAAGGAATAAGAAAAGCATAAGGGGATTATGAGGCTAAGGTTGCAAGGGATTCGAAGACTAACCCAAAAGGGTTCTGTCAGGTTTACAGAAGTAAGATTAGGGACAAGATTGGCCCACTTAAGAGTAACTCAGGTCAGATCACTGACAGTGATAAGGATATGAGTGAAATTTTCAATTCTTACTTCCTCTCAGTTTTTACTCAGGAAGATACTAGCGAAATTCCAGAAATAACAGATTATGTAGAACAAGACGATAATAAACTATGTACGATTGCGGTAACTAGTGACATGGTCCTCAGACAAATAGAGAAACTAAAACCTAACAAATTCCCAGGTCCTGATGAATTGTTTGCAAGGGTGTTAAGGGAATGTAAAGAGGAACTTAGCATACCTTTGGCTAATCTTTTTAACATATCACTACAAACTGGCATAGTGCCTAATAAGTGGAAAATGGCAAATGTAATACCTATTTACAAGGCAGGTGACAGGTCCTTGGCTTCGAACTATAGATCAACAAGCCTTACCTCCATAGTGGGAAAATTTATGGAATCAATAATTGCCGAAGCAATTCGTAGCCATCTTGAAAGGCATAAATTGATTAATGAATCTCAGTACGGTTTTACAAAGGCGCATTCCTGTCTTACAAATTTACTTTCTTCACAAAGGTATTTGAGGAGGTAGATCATGGTATTGAATATGATATTGTGTATATGGACTTCAGTAAGGCTTCCGATAGAGTTCCACATCAGAGGCTATCGAGGAAATTTAAGGCACACGGAATAGGAGAAATTTTTTCCTGGGTTGAGGCATGGTTGATGAATAGGCAGCAGAGAGTTTGCATAAATGGGGAGAAATCAGAATGAGGGATTGTCACAAGTGGTGTTCCTCAGGGGTCAGTGTTGGGCCCCTTGTTGTTCACAATCTACATAAAAGACATAAATGAGGGAATAAATAGTGACATAAGTAAATTTGCTGATGACACCAAAATACGCCATCCAATTCATTCTAATGAGGACATTAGAGCACTCCAGGATGATTTGAATAGACTGAGGCAATGGTCGGAGAAGTGGCAGATGCAGTTTAATATAGACAAATGCAAAGTTCTAAATGTTGGGCAGGAAAATAACTATGCCACATATAAACTAAACAATGTAGATCTTAATATTACGGATTGCGAAAAGGCTTCAGGAGTTCTGGTTAGCAGTAATCTAAAACCAAGACAACAGTGCATTAGTGTTCGCAATAAAGCTAACAGAATCCTTGGCTTCATATCTAGAAGTATAAATAACAGAAGTCCTCAGGTTGTTCTTCAACTCTATATATCCTTGGTTAGGCCTCATTTAGACTATGTTGCACAGTTTTGGTCACCGTATTACAGAATGGATATAAATGCTCTGGAAAACGTACAGAGGAGGATGACAAAGATGATCCCATGTATCAGAAATCTTCCCTATGAGGATAGACTGAGGATCCTGAATCTGCACTCTCTCGAAAGGCGTAGAATTAGGGGGGATATGATTGAGGTGTATAAATGGAAAACAGGAATTAATAAAGGGGATGTAAATAGCGTGCTAAAAATATCTAACATAGACAGGGCTCGTGGCAATGGATTTAAATTGGAAAAATTCAGATTCAGGAAAGCTATAGGAAAACATTGGTTTGGTAATCGAGTTGTGGATGAGTGGAACAAACTTCCAAGTACTGTCATAGATGCTAAGACATTGTGTAGTTTTAAAAATAGGTTGGATAAATACATGAGTGGGTGTGGGTGGGTGTGAGTTGGACCTGACTAGCTTGTGCTACTAGGTCAGATGCACTACTCCTCCCTTGAGTGATGTGTATGACCTCACTAGGTCAAGGCATTGGCTTAAGCCAATGAGAGAATTGGAGCTGCCTCACATAGGCCAGAAGGCCTGTTGCAGTGTTCCTTCTTTCTTATGTTCTTATACCCCCTTTACTGGAGAATTTTCTCTACAAATATTATTGATTGTTATTATTATAGATTATTATAATTAGTAGTAGTAGTATGTATTAGTATTATTATTATTTACTGCAGTTTAATACAGGAACAAAGGGGGCGTACTAGCCTCCCTTGTTGCTAGTGTTATAAAAGGTCCGCTGTGACACCCACTACCACCACTAATGGAGGAACGATTAATTACCCTGTAAGTCATGGTGGGTGTCACAGCGGAGAGATAAAATGGTGGTAGTTGGGGTCAGTGCCCCTTTGTTCTGCATTAAGGAGGCTAGTGCCCACTTAATACAGTATTTCAGTCAGCATATTAATCAGGGTTAGAAAAGAAGCACTGTGTTCTTGTGTTATACATGTCTTGGAATGTTAGCATGGGGCTGTAAGATAAATTATGTGTTACTGTCATGTATAGAATGCTTTACTCTCATGTATAGAAAGTGTTACTGTTATGTATAGAATGCATTACTGTCATGTATAGAACGCGTTACTGTCACGTATAGAATGCATTACTGTCATGTATAGAACCCGTTACTGTCACATATAGAACGCGTTACCACATATCATGTTACTGTCACATATCGACATTTTTAAGGACTTACTGTATTTGTTTTACCACCACCAGGTGTGTTGTTGAACTGGCTTGGTGTGGCTCAGGCTCACATAGAAGCAGTCAGGTATCTGGGTGTGGCTCTGGTCATAGTTGGTTCTTTTCTGATCATCGCCGCTATGTGCCGCTGGATGTTCCTGTCCCCTCAGTCTACCATTGTTAGTGAGGTAAGTCAGTGTTCACCTAGCAGTAAGTAGGTACCTGATTGTTAGTCACCTTACACTTGCTGTCAGTGTTCACCTAGCAGTAAGTGGGTACCTGGATGTTAGTTACCTAACACCTGCTGTTCATGTTCACCTAGCAGTAAAATAGGTACCTGGGTGATAGTGGACAGGTGTGGGTGGCATTCTGGGGACATATACTTCAGGGACTTTTTATATAGTAGTATGTCACTGATGTTAACTATGGTCTGTATAAGTTGAACCATGTACTGCTAGGAATATTGATTATTATTATTATTATTATTATTATTATTATTATTATTATTATTATTATTATATACAGCAGTTACAGAAATTATGTTTTGTGTAACAGATCTCCTGTATAACAGACCTCCCATAAAACAAACGTCCCATACAACAGATCTCCTGTATAACAGACCTCCCATAAAACAAACCTCCCATATAACAGAACTCCCATATAACAAACCTCCTGTATAACAGACATCTTGTATAACAGACCTCCCATATAACAAACCTCATGTACAACAGACTTTGTGTATAATAGACCTCCAGTATAAGAGACTTCAAAGATATGGAACTGAATCTGCCAGGTGAGTCAACCAGGTAGCAGCGAACAGAGTCTGCTCATTACGGAATTATCATTGTGATAATAATCATCCAGCTATTTTCTCTCTGTCCACTATTAACCCTCCCCCCTTATCAGTCTGTTATATGCAGCATTTGCTATTAGATTAGATTAAATTTTTTATTTTGACAAATTACATAGTTGTACAGAGGAATATAATAGTTGGGTGTACATGCCAAAAGCTCCTCTGTATGCTGAGTATTTTGGGCAAACTTAAAGATTAACTAAAGATTAGTAAGGTAATAATACATAGTTTATATGGGCATTAGATGAGTTAGAGTGAGTACAGGAGAATTTAATATTACATCAGGTAATGCTACATGGTTCTGATAAGTCTAGTAGAGACTTTTTACACTATTGAATTAGTTAATAATGATTACAGTATTACAATGTAACAACTGAAAATAATTTATAATATGATGTATTACAACGGCTACGGGGGCAGTGACCCCAGGAACTGTCTCCAGGTAAACTCCAAGTAAACACTTTAGTACTGTTTAAAACAATGAAATTTGGTATTACAATGCAACAATTTACATTATAATGTACTGTATTACAATCTATACTATTTGAAAACAATGAAAAGAACAGACATCGTAATTTCGCAGTAGTAAGTGGTTAAGTATTCATCAGTACAATACGAGTAGCTTTTGAGAAACTGGTAGTGATCAGGTACGGTTTGTCTGGTTAATTTTGGGTAATGAGGTGATTTCTTATTAGGGCCTTAAACTGATTAGCAGACAGGGATCCTTAAGTTTGTTCTGGCAATAAATTCCAGATCTTTGGGCCTTTTACGTGCATAGAATTTTTATACAGGGAGAGATGAACACAAGGAATATCGAAGAGTGATCTGTGTCTAGTGTTATGGTTGTGTGATCTGTTATAGTTATCAAGGAGGAGTTTGAGAGGAGGGTTTACATTACAGTGTTCTTAAGCACTACTTCTTGTCTAGTTTTAAGTATAGTTACTATGTACTGTTATCTTATCTAGTTTTAATTAGTTACCATGTATTAGGTTTATCAGGCTCTGATCCACCAGGAGGCCTGGTCACAGACCGGGCCACGGGGGCATTGACCCCCGGAACTCTCTCCAGGTAAACTCCAGGTAATTAGTTTGCCCAAAATGCTTGGGCATGATAGTGGCTATCTTTGTACTTTGCAAATCAAAATTGTAATTACACATTGTAACCTTTACAAAGAAATAAACTTTACTCTGTTTAGCTATGAGGTCAAACCTCACATAATTGTGTAATGTAGCGACTCACCTTTATAGAAATCGAGTTTTTGTTGCTCTAGGTGACTCTCACTTATTAAAAAATGAGTTTTTGTTTTCCTAGTGACTACTTTATATAGTTTTTTTTATATTAAAGTTGGTGGAATGACCGACAAACTGTTAGGTAAAAGAACACAAGTGCAACATTGTTGCACTTGTGTCCTTTTACCTAACAGAGTTTTTTGCCTTTCTAAGTGAGGTAGATATAAATTAAGAGTAATATAGAATTGAGAGTCACGAAATCATAATGATATGATTACAAATAAACCATCCCACGGGAGGGGACAGAACCCACGATCACGGAGTTTTACGACTCTTTGATTGTGGGTTCTATCCCCACCTGTGGTATTTTTTTTTTTAATAGAGAATCAGCAGTGATAATTTCTGGGGTATACATTTTTTTGTAAGGACTGGCCACAGTTTTGTAAATTTAATTTTCTGGTCTGAGTGCATGCCCAAGAAATCACCCATATCCTGCCTTTCCATCACTGTTTTATTAATTTCTAAGACATGTATGGCCAAGAAATCTTCCATATCCTGCCTTCCTATTGGTGTTAGACATGTATGGCTCAAAATTCTCCCATATTCTGTGTTTCCATTATTTTTTTTATTTCTAATACAAGTATGGCCAAGAATTCACCCGTATTCTGCCTTTCTATCAATTTCATCAATTTCTACTCACATGAACATCTGTAGTGTTGTTCCTGAATGTTAAATCATAAAAATAATAAGAATTATATCTTTATTTCTACAAGTACATGTATAAGGTATACAAGTACATGTACAAGGTATACAAGTACATGTACAAGGTATACAAGTACATGTACAAGGTATACAAACATTAAGGTACAAGACATGTACAAGGTATACAAGTACATGTACAAGGTATACAAGTACATGTACAAGGTATACAAGTACATGTACAAGGTATACAAGTACATGTACAAGGTATACAAGTACATGTACAAGGTATACAAGTACATGTACAAGGTATACAAGTACATGTACAAGGTATACAAGTACATGTACAAGGTATACAAGTACATGTACAAGGTATACAAGTACATGTACAAGGTATACAAGTACATGTACAAGGTATACAAGTACATGTACAAGGTATACAAGTACATGTACAAGGTATACAAGTACATGTACAAGGTATACAAGTACATGTACAAGGTATACAAGTACATGTACAAGGTATACAAGTACATGTACAAGGTATACAAGTACATGTACAAGGTATACAAGTACATGTACAAGGTATACAAGTACATGTACAAGGTATACAAGTACATGTACAAGGTATACAAGTACATGTACAAGGTATACAAGTACATGTACAAGGTATACAAGTACATGTACAAGGTATACAAGTACATGTACAAGGTATACAAGTACATGTACAAGGTATACAAGTACATGTACAAGGTATACAAGTACATGTACAAGGTATACAAGTACATGTACAAGGTATACAAGTACATGTACAAGGTATACAAGTACATGTACAAGGTATACAAGTACATGTACAAGGTTGTTACGGTTCAAATCTTAATGTTTAGCCAGGTTAGTGCACTCCGTAACAACACACTTCAAAGAATGAAAGGATATGTTTCCAAACTTAGAAATGTAAGGCACAAATAATAGTTACTCAGTCTTTTCAAGTTTCTTTTTATTTAAAAGCTTAAATACTTTAGATATTCATAAATATCTATTAAATATCAATGTCAGAAACTTTCCTTCACACAAGAAAACTTAAATAGAATGTACATGTCAATATGGTCACTACACTTGATAATGATCAGAGGAATATTACCGCTTCCTCAATAGTAACATTACTTGTGTGCAAGTACATATATTGAGAATTAACACTTTCACTGAGTAACTCCCTGGCATAAGGAATATATCACAAAGTTCTAAGCTTGACACTGGTCGTCACATCGTAACCTGAAGATAACAGTATATGATTGTCAGAAGACTTCACAATAAACCACAAGCTGGTTCAGGAGTTTCTATAACCCAATTCTCTATCCAAGTGAGAATAAGGCGGAGTACTAGGAGGGTAGCTCAGTCAATGCACACTGAGTCAGCAGAGAGAGTGAACTGCCATATACAGTAAATTCCTTCATGACATCAACTCGTCAAAAGGGGAGAGGGTAGAGCGGTGCAAACTACCCACCAATGGAGATACCTTGTTATAAACCTTAGCCAGGTGTACCTACCTAACACATTACTCAAGATATATATATATATATATATATACATCATACCCGGGTATATTCCTAAATCAGATAATATTATAAACTAGTGGAATCTTTAATTTAGCTAATATTAAAGAAACCCAGAGTATAATATTAAGTGGATAATACATATAAATTAATCACATTATGACCTTGGTCATAACAAAGGTATACAAGTACATGTACAAGGTATACAAGTACATGTACAAGGTATACAGACCATAGCTGACATCAATGACATACTACTACAGTGGTACCTTGACTTACTACTACAGTGGACCCCCGCATAACGATTACCTCCGAATGCGACCAATTATGTAAGTGTATTTATGTAAGTGCGTTTGTACGTGTATGTTTGGGGGTCTGAAATGGACTAATCTACTTCACAATATTTCTTATGGGAACAAATTCGGTCAGTACTGGCACCTGAACATACTTCTGGAGTGAAAAAATATCGTTAACCGGGGGTCCACTGTACAGTGGTACCTTGACATACGAGTTTAATTTGTTCCGTGAGCAAGCTCATAACTCAATTTGCTCATATTTCAAATCAATTTCCCTCACTGAAATTAACTGAAATGTCATTAATCTGTTCCAGCCCCCATAAAACTACCCCATTTTTTTTTTTTGTTACAGGTTTTAAAATAAGAAAAATGCATTTACAAGTAAGAAATTATTTTTGCCTTTTTTGCCAGGTTCCACCAATGTTTTAGAAATGCTGGAGTATATATGAAACTCCTTGAAGCAAGTGTAAGATGAGTGTCACTCCACTGCTGACAGTGCAGCAGTGGAGTGACAATTGATAATCGTACACTGCCTTGTAATTATTTTTCACTGTTACAAATAAACATGTCTATCTGTTTCTATCTGTCTATTTGTCTGTCTATCTAACTATCAAGCTCTATCTTTATCTCTGTCTCTGCTTATCTGTCTTTCTCTCTGCCTGTGTCTCTGTCTTCCTGTCTCTCTACTTGTCTCTCTGTCTCAGAGAGAGAGCCACTCATGAACCAACAGGTATTACACACAATGCAGAGTCATCACGTCTGATTCCCGAACAAGTGAAAATGTGTATTACTTGCCAGTCATGCTTATTATGCCTTATATCTACAAACATAGTATAGCACTTTGTCTGGAATTTTTTGGGTTATGCTAGGTAATTTACACTATGTATAACTATATTTATGTGTACCTGTGAGTTAGAGACAGAGATAGAGACAGAGATAGACAGAGAGAAACACAGATACACAGATAGACAGAGATAAATACAGACAGGCAGAAGGAGATAGAGACAGCCGAAGCAAATCAGCCAGCCAGCCAGCCAGCCAGTCACCAGCCAGCCAGCTGGCCACCCAACCAGCCGGCCTGCCAAACATGTATTACACGTTCCAGAATTGTTTCTCTTTACTTAGGGCATACATTATAGAACATTCTGGCAGGATGGCACTACCAGTGATATCAAAATTGAAAGGATGTTACACTGGTTATTATTGAGGTTTTTGATATTTCCTCTCTCCTGCGAGTGGCAGCGTATCTGAAGCTCGCTCATAACTCAGATTTTGGCTTGCAACTCAAAGCAAAAGATCAACCGAGCGACAGCTCGCAACTCAGAAAACTCGTAAGTTGAGGCACTCGTAAGTCAAGGTACCACTGTAATTAGAAAGCCATTTGTTATGCAAAGCATTTTAGGCAAATTAGATTAGTTTTGTCCCAGGATGCGACCCACACCAGTCCACTAACACCCAGGTACCCATTTTACTGATGGGTGAACATGGACAACCGGTGTGAGGAAACATGCCCAGTGTTTCCACCCCTTTGCCGAGACTCAAACCCGGATCCTCACCGTGAGCAGCAAGAGCTTTTGTCACCAGGCCACAAAGCACCATGGTCTTGTGAACCTTGAGGGTGCTGCTGAGAGTTGCTGGGACAGAATTTAAGCTCACAGAAGCTGTGTCAACTCTCAAAGAGCATTGATTTAAGTCGTGGCATAGCAGTGGCAACATTGTAAGTGTTTAAGTGAGTTCTTTGGGGTCCTTGACTTATTACCATTGTTGTCCTTGACTTATTTCCTGTAGGAATTTATTGAGTTCAAGAAATTCCACAGGTCATTGTAAATAAGCAGTAGAAGCCTCTAGAATCCATGCCGACAAAGCAAATAGCAGAAATAATAAGTCAGCACATATTTTTTGATAGGTTTAGAGTATTGGGAACTAACAATAGAATTAAAAAATGTAGAGTTACGCTTTAATATAGGTTTACACTAGGTAGTATCGAGTAAGGATATTAGATATGTATTAACACCTAGTGGTTCTCCAGCGAATTAGTGAGGGTGAAGGACACTAGTAGCCATCTTGTACAAGGAGTCGTGCCGTCAGTGCCTCCCTACTAGTTTTTATCTCTTGAGTCCCACACGGTTTCCCAACATTACCTGGTAGTTAACAACGTACTTCAGAGGCCTTCCAATGAATTGTGGATACGAGTCTCTGCGCCAGATCAGTTTGTGACACTTATATTGTATTTTACTGCTAGTCACGTGACCGCTAATACTGGCTGGGAAGCGCAGGGATAGTCAGCTTACGATGATGAAGAATAGTGTCCATGTCCAACGATCAGGTAATTTGTGAATGACATTTACTACAAGGTTTAGTTTTACTCATGATAATGGTAAGTAAAAGCCACTTGTGAGACAGACGAGTCTTCCAGTGACTGTGTCAACAGTGCTTGCCATGGAGTGCCAACAGTGTTTGCCAGGGAGTGTCAACAGTGTTTGCCAGGGAGTGTTAACAGCACTTGCCAGAGAGTGCCAATGCTTGCCAGGGAGTGCCAACAGTGCTTACCAGGGAGTGCATCTCACAAGGTGGCAGATATTACACATTTTCACACTATCATTGTCGTCCTGACTTATTACAGTTGTGGTCCTTGAATTATTACCATTGTGGTCCTTAACGTATTCCATTGTGGTCCCTGACCCCTCAAGGAAGGTTCCTTGATGCTGGTGAGGGGCTCTTGATCTAGGGAATTGGATCTGTACTTCAGTTTCCTGAATTAAGCCTGAATACCTTCCACATCTCCCCACTGGCGCTGTATTAATCCTACGGGTTGAGCGCTTCCCCCTTGATTATTATAATAATAATAATGTGGTCCCTGACTTACTACTATTGTGGTACTTATAATATCCATTAGGGTCCTTGTAACATGTATTTAGGGTCCTTGTAACTCCCATTAGGGTCCTTGTAACTCCCAGTAGTTTGCTAGTAATACTGGTTTTACTGTATCTGCAGGTCCCTTCGGAGAGAGTTGGCGACCTACACGTCATCACAGTGCCTATGGGGGGCATACAGGGGCCCCCGTGTGTACAGGGGCCCCTGTGTGCACCTGGAGCTGCCACGACCACCCAGGGTAAACCTCCAGACTACTTCCTGGTAGTGGAGAAGCCACCAAGCTATGAGGAGGCCATGTCCATGCTGCTGCCATATGCAGCAACGAGCTCTAGCTCTTGGCACCTCAGCGCCAGTGGCCTGGAAGATTTCTTGGCACCAAACCAGGTGCCTGGGAGCCAAGTGGATGGCACCACCAGTGCCTCACCCCACAACTGCCAAGGTGGATCAGAGTGTTTGCCAGAGGTGCTGCTGCCTCCAGCATATTCCAGCAGATGTCACCAAGTGCCTCTGCATCCATGGGCAATGGCGACTCTTGTCTGCCACTGGAAGACATCCCCCGCTGCCCGGTCACCACCCAAGCCCCGCCTTGCAGCGATGCCCCGCAACCCAATCCATCCACTGCCACTGCTGAACCACCAATGGAAATAATCAAACTGCCCGATAATGCCATAAGACCTGCCATACACCGCCACCCTCACAAGACCACATCGATGACAAGTAGCAATGACAAATAGTCTGCAATATCAACATTATCGCAGTGCATCGATAATCTACTACCTTACATATTGTAATATATATATATATATATATATATATATATATATATATATATATATATATATATATATATATATATAATATATATTATATACACCATAGGCCTACAGGTCTAACTGAAAAACACTAGATCCATATAGGCTGTGCAGCCTCAGAGGGCACGAGGGGCTGGTGGGGTTTGATGTGAGGAAGAGGAAGGCAGCTCCTTTATATACAGTCAGTTCTCTTTAAAAGCTTCTCTACATAAAGTTTAAAGCCCTGAAGGTCATGTTTGGGTTAGTTTTAAAGCCTTGAAGGTCACATTTGTGTGCTTATAAAGACCTAAATGTCACATTTCTTTGTGTGTAAAGCCCTCAAGGTATATTTGTGCACACATAAAGCCCTGAAGGTCACGTTTATGTGCATTTTAAAAGCCCTGAATTTCACGTTTTAATTCAGCGTGTATGCTAGTCACCTGCACCAAGCTGATCTGTTTAAAAAAATCGTACGATTTTTTTAAACGTACGAATTCTTTAAATGTATGATTTTTTCCACATTTTCTCTGGTAATGTTCAATGGATCACAAATTTTGCATATACATTACTATATTTCCATACTCTTATACAAGTACCATATTTTCCCAGCGAATAAGATGTCCCGGCATCAAGGATGCCCTCTCAAACATTTCTGACCGGCTAAATTTTGTAAAAAATAAAAAAAAAATATACTGATATGGCTTATACTGTCAGTGGCCCCAGAAACCCCACGAAACAAAGAGAAACAGAAATAATATTAAGCCATAGGCCTTGGTAAGAACACGCACAACAATGGCTCATTCTGCGGAACAATGGCCTGGGTAAGGTAACAGAGGCCAAGATTTTAGACGGCTTCAAAAAATTTTAAATACAGGTGACCTGCTACTTATGATGGATTATCTTCCTTGCAAACCATTGTAAATTATAAGTACTGCAAGTAAGATGGAAATACTGCAAGTCGGAAATATTGTAAGATGGTAATACTGTAAGTCAGAAATATTGTAAGATGGTAATACTGTAAGTCGGAAATATTGTAAGATGGTAATACTGTAAGTCGGAAATATTGTAAGATGGTAATACTGCAAGTCGGAAATATCGTAAGATGGTAATACTGCAAGTCGGAAATATTGTAAGATGGAAATACTGCAAGTCGGAAATATTGAAAGATGGAAACATTGTAAGTCAGAAATATTTTAAGTCGGAAATATTGTAAGTTGGAAATATTGTAAGTCTGAAATATTGTAAGATGGAAATACTGCAAGTCGGAAATATTGTAAGCCGGAAACGTTGTAAGTCAGAAATATTTTAAGTCGGAAATATTGTAAGCCGGAAACATTGTAAGTCAGAAATATTTTAAGTCGGAAATATTGTAAGTCGGAAATATTGTAAGTCAGAAAATATTTTAATTCAGAAATATCCAAAGTCAGAAATATCCTAAGTCAGAAATATCCAGTCAGAAATGTCCTAAGCAGGAAATATCTTAAGTCAGAAATATCCAGTCAGAAATATCCTAAGTCAGAAATGTCCAGTCAGAAATGTCCTAAGCAGGAAATATCTTAAGTCAGAAATATCCTAAGCAGGAAATATCCTAAGCTGGAAGTAACCTAAGTCAGGAGTATCCTAAGTCAGATATATCCTAGCTCAAACATATCCTAAGTTGAACCATCATAAAGTCAAAATATCCTAAGTAGGCCTTAAGAAGTAGGCCTTCTGTAGCATTCCTCCATTAAGTTGATAAGTAACTTTATTCTAAAATGTTTTGCCTGCACTGTTGGCTTCTTCAGTTGCATACAGAGAAGGCAACAATAACATCAGTAGAGATATAAAGAGGGGATCAGTCCCTCATCACTGTTAACTTTACTGAACAGTAGAATTAGGCCTAGGCTTGCCTGAAAAATGCCATACATAGGCATGTAGGCTCTGCATGCACAATTAGGCCTGGTAGGCTTATCACAGCTATAAGTTTGGCTAGCTTCAAATTTACCTTAGAAAAATCAGTTAATAGGTTAATTATTATAATCATAACTAACCCCATAAGGATCAGTGCTGGTAGGCATATTAAAGCCTACTGGGTTGAGCAAATATTTTTGCTGGTGTGAGGACCTTCCTAGTGTGGGCCAGTAGGCCTACTGCAATGTTTCTCCTTTTTTTATATTATTAAATGTGAACCATCGCTATACATTGTATCATGAAGGAATTTGACTTTTGACTGCCCATAGGCCTACTGACTCCATCACCTGATCTACCTAGCCCTATTACAGACCTACCAACTCCATCCCCTGGTTTACCTAAGCCTACCATAGGCCTGACTCCATCACCTGATTCAAGCCTACCATAAGCCTACTGACTTCACTTGGTCTAAGCCTAACCTCATTATCTGGTCTAAGTCTATCATAGGCCTGGCTCCATCACCTGGACTAAGCCTGTCACAGACCTGGCTCCATCACATGGTCTAAGCCTACTGTACGCCTTCCATATTGGGACATATACAGGAGCCTAGATCCCCATCTAGTACTGAAACACTTCTCTAGGCTTAGGCCTATGAGCAACATAACCTTAGGCCTACAAGACTGATAAACTTTCAAGATTTTGGAAAAATGGCATCTTTATTGACTGAAAATACTGTTTATTTATTGTTTTGTTGCAATAAAATAATGTAAACAGGTGTAAACGGCACGTATCAGCTCCCACATTCCAACCACACAACAGAGTGAAAAACTAATGTGAAGTACCTGGGGTTGATAATGTTAGAGGATCTCACTTTCAAAGATCACAACAATGTACAGTGGACCCCCAGTTTACGATATTACAGTGGACCCCCGCTTAACGATCACCTCCCAATGCGACCAATTATGTAAGTGTATTTATGTAAGTGAGTTTGTACGTGTATGTTTGGGGGTCTGAAATGGACTAATCTACTTCACGATATTCCTTATGGGAACAAATTCGGTCAGTACTGGCACCTGAACATACTTCTGGAATGAAAAAATATCGTTAACCGGGGGTCCACTGTATTTCATTCCAGAAGTATGTTCAGGTGCCAGTACTGAACGAATTTGTTCCCATAAGGAATATTGTGAATTTGATTAGTCCATTTCAGACCCCCAAACATACATGTACAAATGCACTTACATAAATACACTTACATAATTGGTCGCATTGGGAGCTGATCGTAAAGCGGGGGTCCACTGTATCTACCACACCTGCTAGAAAAATGACAGGATGGATAATGAGAACCTTCAAAACTAGGGATGCCAAGCCCATGATGATTCTCTTCCAATCGTTTGTTCTCTCTAGGCTGGAATACTGCTGTACACTAACAGCACCTTTCAAGGCACGTGAAATTGCTGACCGGGAGAGCGTACAGAGAGCCTTAACCCTTAAATGGTCCAAACATATATATACGTTTTTTCAACATTTGAAAGTATGTAAAAAAATGTAGATCTTCTTTTTTTTTTTTACATTTGAAAATGTTTAAAAGAACTTTTATCTACATCTGTTTTTTTGTTATATTCGAAAATATGTAAAAAACCTAGATATACTTTTGGAGCACTACGGATTTGAACATCGATCTGTTTGGATCGTTTAAGGGTAAATGGCACACATAAGTACAATAAAAAAACTAAATTATTGGGAACAGTTAAGGTCTTTGACTTGTACTCCCTGGAATGTAGGCGGGAAAGATACATGATAACATACACCTGTAAAATCCTAGAGGAATTAGTACCAAATTTGCACACAATAATCACTCTCTATGAAAGCAAATACTCGGCAGATGATGCAACATCCCCCCAGTGAAAAGCAGGGGTGCCACAATCACACTAAGAAATAACACAATAAGTGTCAGGGGCCCAAGACTGTCCCACTGCCTCTTCAAGAAGGTGCTGGACAGGCACCTAAAGTCAGTACAGTGGTCCTTCAATTATCGTCTATAATCCGTTCCTGGAAGTGGGACTATTATCGAAATGGACGACTTTCGAATCAATTTTCCCCATAAGAAATAATGTAAATGCAATTAATCCGTTCCTGACACCCAGAAGTATTAGAACAAAAAATTTTTTTACATGAAATATAGATGTAGTACATAAACAATACAGTGGCACATGATGAATTAAACATTAACAGAATAACACTTACCTTTATTGGCGATTCTTCTTTGTTTTATGGAAGACTGGAGGAGACAGATTGGTTATTTACTTTTGGAAGGAGAATCCCCTTCCATCAACACCTCGGGTACCAAATGCTTTTCTGGGGTTACTTCTCTTCTCTATTTCTTAATGCCACTAGGACCAGCTTGAGAGTGACTGGAGTCCTGTCTCGCAAAATAACTGTCCAGAGAGCTCTGTTTCTGGTACACTAGTAATGGCTTCACTTTGAAATCCCCACTAGCATTAGCACAGAATATGAGCATCAGCCTGTCTTTCATAGGCTTGCGTCCTGGCAGTGCCTTTTCTTCCTGAGTAATGTAGGTCCTCTTTGGCATTTTCTTCCAAAAGAAGCCGGGTTTTGTCACAATTGAACACTTGTTCAGGTTTCAGTCCTTCAGTCTCTATGTACTCCTTGAATTATGCACATTTTTTCAGTCGCTTTGTTGTCAGAACTGCCAGCCTCACCATGCCTTACCACACTGTGTATGCCAGTACGCTTCTTAAATCTCTCAAACCAGCCTTTGCTGGCCTTAAATTCACTCACATCACCACTAGTTGCAGGCAATTTCTTTACCAAATCGTCATGCAACTGCCTAGCCTTTTCACAAATAAGCGACGTCATAAGACTATCTCCTGCTAATTGTTTCTCGTTTATCCACACCAATAATAACTTCTCAACATCTTCCAGTACTGGTGATCTCATTTTTGTTAGCATATTTACCCCCTTTGCAACAACAGCATCCTTGATTTCCTTTTTCTTGGCTATGATGGAAGATACGGTTGTACGGGATTTGTTATACACCCTGGCCAGTTCGCCCACATGCATGCC